CGTTGAAAGCAACAACATAAGACGCTGAATGTAATTACGCAAAAGACCTAAACAATAGCATCGGCGGCCCCATACGTAGACTTCTTTTGAAAGCAGGTAATTTCAGGTAAGCGCCTAATTAAGACTCACCCCTCAGTTATGGAGGACCATGGGAAAAGGAGCGTTTTGAAGGGCATAACTTGCTTTATTGTTTGCTTGATTTATGCACATACAGCCTTATTTTGACTATCCTTCTTGCGATAAAGAAAAACACGCGTTCACCTTTAGGACAATAGGTTATTACTTCAGATGTCCTAAGAAAGTTTAATAGGTTGAATCATCCACTGGATGTTGGAACCGAAGAACGGGTTTCAAAAGACTCCCTTAAGCAACTTTTATAGAGGTAGGACAAAAACAATTCAGGGATATCCCCCTGGATGCATAAGTATTTTTTTTTTACTGAGTAACGTCCTTAGGAGGACTTTTTGAAAGATTTATTAGGTTCGCAGTGACGAATTACAATTTTACGACGACGAGCATGCAGCTATATACGGATACTAAAGAACAATGTGGATCCTACACTTTGCACTGCCCTAACATATCTAAACTTATCTTTCTACTGTTTTTTAAAGGTCCAATTCTGCTGACGACAACTCTCAGTCACTCGTGACGACAGATGATGTTGTAACTTTTTTGGAGTATAAGGCGAAACAGAAGTATTCCAAAAAGAATCATGTAGCTCGCGATTACAGCAAACCAGCAAACTGTCCGCAATTTGATAGCACCATTCCTGCCGACATAGTTGAATATGTTTTGACCTACTGGCGCCTTAAACGCTGTTCAAACTTCAATCAGCCGCTGATGGAGACCCCGGAGGCGTGGAAGACTGCAGTTCTTCCAACCAAAATGCCTATCACCATGGTGACTGACCCTCTTGCAGAGGCCGCCGAAGTGGTAAATCGCTTCAAGCGTGTGCGGTTTGGTTTGGATAGAGCCAGGATGGTAATAGACATGGTTCTACAGCGCGAACGGCGGAAGGATGCCCTGCTACGAAAAATGCAACAAATAGCAAACAGCCAGCTCCGGATCATTGCCAGCACCCCGGATCTCAATGCTCTGCCGGAGGACTGTTTGGAGGTCCTCATTTCCGCCCATCTTGGACCCAGCATCTACGAGGACTATGACGCTTTGCTGCGGCTCAGTGACCTGAACCTAGCCATCAGTCCGACGCGTCCCATGTCGCCAGATGTGCGCCGACCGTCGGAAACGTGGCCCGCATCTTCCAGTCCGCTATCCATGAGAACAACTGCTACTGCCTCCGCCGCTACCAGCTACATAGTGACTGGCAACCCGGTGATTGATAGTCTGCTGCCGGAACAGCTAATCGTAAGCCCCGGCGTCCTGGAAAGATTAAAGAATGCCTTCTGCAAGAAAAGACGCAAAAAGCGCGAGGTGGCCGCCACTGGTCGGCGTCCAACTATGGCCGGCTGCACCCAGAACCACTTAACCCAGTCGGTTTTGCAACAGCAACAGAACTTGAGCGGTTTTGTCTTCACCGCGTCTTCCCGAAAGATCCTACAGAAACCACTGGTGACGCCAAATACTCCTGGTTATGGGCAACACGCTCTCCGCGCCGTCAAATGTGACGCGGAGGCCCTTTCGCTGCCTGCCAAGCGATTCAGGTTCGATATGAACAGTTCCTATCAACGGCAGCTGCAGCAACAACAGTTAACACTTCAGTCTTGGTAATAGTATCTCATCTGCTGTCTTCTTTATAAATTTTTCTTAACAGATCATTCAAGAGTCTTATTTTATTCTAATTCTTGTACATACACCTCTTTTGTTAATAGTAATAAAGTCTGTAAATATTGTACTTATTAATATTCGCAGGAAGTAAAGCGTTTTTGTTGCTTTCAAAACTCTGATCTGTGTAGGTTGGAAGAACGTTCCATGGGTCCTTCGCATTCCCTTAGGTTTACGTCTTATAATCTGAAGTTTGGGCAACAGTTAAAACCACTCGGCTTTTTGTGGGCGATTCGGTCACAGACTCCTTCGTCAAGGTGTTCATGTAGGAGTAAATTCTTTGCCTAATGGGCAACATCTCAAGCTACTAATCTGTCTAGCACGCCCTGTTGCTGATCATCTATTCGCCTTTAAGACGCCTGATCATCTGCTTCGTGAGTAATACGAATCAACAGAACGCCTTAGCCTGCGACGGTCAAGAATTTGGGGCCGAATTTAATAACATACCTACTAAGTCCGCTCCGTCTGATAGGAGAAGTCAGTCAGTTATGAGGAGCGATTTTTTCGTTACGCAGGACAGGTGCCATGAGATGGCTGTTTGCCTGTGTAGCTGAACAAAGCGTCCGTCCGGGAGCGTCCGAGCAGCGGTTTGTCTATGTTCGTGCCAACATGTGGGAGTGAGTGTCTGGGTGTTGGACGCATGATTGGTTAGTTTGAAGACTGAGTCCGGAGAGCATAATCACAAGGTTCCCTGGGTGACAAGTAATGCTGGCTATCGCGCGTAAGCGCTACTCAACTCAGGTCAAGCCCGAGGGGCTGCCGCGCTTTGGCGATGCACCTGCTG